CGGACTATTTTTATAGAGTACCAGTTCCTAATTTTAGAAAAGTAAAGGCCAGACTATTTTTATAGCGTACCCTATAGGTACTTTATAGTACTTTTAAATACTGTAAAGTGTTTTAATATCTAAAGAATAGTCGACTAAAGTACTATTATAAAAATTTTTAAATACTGTAAAGTGTTTTAATATCTCAGTATAGTCAGCTATAGTACTATTATAAAATGATTTTTATACTTTATGTTTAATAAGAACGGTATCTTTTTTATTACTAGTTATAATAAAATAATTAAAATATTATAAAATTTATAAGTTTGTATTGTATTTAATATTAAGATAGTTCGTAGTAATAGCATAATTTATTATCAATTAGAATAACTAAGACAATTAGAATTTGAGCAGCTATATATATTAAATACAATAATTAAGCACAAATTAAATATATGCATTATGCGATTAATGCTATTATTTAATATAAATTTTACAGATTAAGCTCTCTTTTCATTTTTTCAACCTGCAATTTTTTTAATTCTAATTCTGTTTCTCGCTCATTTAATGCAATTTCTTTTTCTTTGATAGCTAATCTTCTTTCTTTAACTTCTAAATCTTCTAAGTTTTTAATATTATCATCATCGCTTTCTTGAATATTAATTTGTTTTGTTGTTTTTTTTTGTTTTTTTGCTGATTTTGGTTTTACTTTTAATGTTCGCTTTTTAATATCTAAATTAATTAAAATTTATACTATATGTAAAATTTATTAAATAAATAATAAAATATTAAATTTAATTAATTACTTACTTTTTTGTTTTAATGAATGAATTGTTCTTGATACTATACTATGATCATGACTAGTACAAGAAATTCCTGAAACTTGATGTATTTTAATTGAATGAAATGTTCATTTATCCTCTAAAAAGCCTCTAAAAAATTTTTAGTAAATAAATAATAAATTAAACTATAATTAATAAAATTAAATATACTTTTGAATTGCAGTATAAAGATTTAGATCTATTCCATATCGATTAACTCTTGCATGACTACTTTCAGATACATTTATATTATCTGATACAGAATACTATATATCGAGTAGAATTTTAGAAAATACAGGGTTTAAAGAAGAAAGAACCTAGTCATTTGAATAAAATTCAACCCATTCTATAAAATTTAATAATATATATTAGAAATTTTATATGTTAAATTTAATTAATAAAATAAATACCTTCTAAATTTTCATTTAAATCAGATTTTAAATTTGAGAAAATTTTTTCAATTTCTGACTTCGAATTAGCAGTAGCAATTTCAAACATTTGCTTTTTAATATCTTCATTATGTCCACTATTCTTGATATTTCTAATATAAATTTATTAATTAGTTTAATAATTAATATTTAATTATAAATAAATAAAAAAAATTAATTACTGATAAAAATGTATTTTACAACTTTTAAAAATATAAGTTAAATGTTCATTCCAAGTATATTTTGGTTCTATATTAGCTAAAGCTAATCCTAACCCTTTTGCTTGTCCTTGGTCCAAATCTCCGATTATATACTTCCATCCTTTATTATGTATATAATTAAAATATGGTTGTTCATTTGTTAATAAATTAATATGATTCCATAAACTTGTAAAAATTTTACAATATGCTTTAGCTGACATAGCATTTGTATAAACTCGAGCAAATGTTACACCTAAATTTAATATTATTTATTAATTATATATAAAAATTATAATTTAAAATAAATATATTAAAATTTCTTACTTTGATTAAAATTTTCATTATAATCATTAATTTCAAATTCATTGATATCACCATGTATACGTTTAAATGCTATATCTATTTGAAAATTATCTGTATTTTTCCAAGCAATAGCTTGCTCTTTATTTATACAAATAATTATAAATTTTCCATCATCAAATATACCTATAAATTAATAAATTAGTAAACAAATAAATATATTATATAATAATTTAAAATAATTTATAAATACCAATTTTTTGTAAATATCTATCAAATTCTTTATTTCCATTTTGAAATTCAGTAACAATACCTAGTAAACCTTGTCCATTTGGAAATTGTTTTTGCTGTACTTTACTAACAAGATATCTTAATTTATCTAAATTATTTAATGATGAATAAATTTCAGTAAAGAGTTCTTTACCAAAATAAGCTTTTAATAAATTACTAGAAATTAATTTTTTTGATGTAACTTTTTCAAATGTTTGTGTAGCTTCTTTAATCATACGTTCTAAATTTACTTTAATTCCAAAAGGAATATTAACTGGAAGTGGAGGTGGATGTGTATGAATACCTTTGCATATTAAAACAACAAAAGGTGTATTAATAATATCTACTGGAATTAACTTAATAAATTGAACATTACAATCTAATTTAATAATTTTTCCTTTTCGATTAAGACCTTCATTTGTACAATGAAAATAAGCTATAAATATTATTATTTATATTATTAATATATTAATATTAATATAATTTAAATATTATATAAAAAATATAAATTACATACAACATTCTTTTTTTCTAGAATTAGTAAACAAAATTGTACGACAATTTTGTACAGGTTTATCTAAATCAACCTAAAAAAAATTTAAATTAAAAATATATATTAAATAATAAAATATTTAAAATTTTATTAATTTCTTACAAATGTTCCTTTAAATAATTTTCCAAGCATTTTAATATTAATTTTATTATCATTTATCTTGTAATGTATATGTTTTTGCCCTAGTCGCCAAGCAGAACAACTAATAAAATATGATAGTATATCATTATCTGATTTTTTTCCATAACGACAAACTTGAAGTTTTCTAGAACATGTATTAGAATTATATGGACATTGCGTATTAACAAATGCTAAATATTTTCTATATTAATTAATTATAAAATATATATTAATAATTAACAATATTTAAATATATTAAAATAATATTTAATTCTTACGCATGTATTTTAGCTTCAATTGATGTTTGTGAATCTACTGGTTGATTTATTTTATAAAAATCTATACTTTCATTAACTTCAGTATGTGTTGCATTTCTTAATTCATCTGATGCAAATTCGCATATCTTTGCTCCAGTACAAATTCTAACTGATTTGTATACTTTGCATCCTAAAAATTCACATTCAACAAGTTTTTTTCCACCACCTTCACCAGTATTATATTGAATCTATATAATAAAATTTAATTAAATAAGTTTTATAATTATAATTAAATTTTTTTATAAAATTACTACTTACATCGGAAAATGCTGAATTAAAATCATCCCATTCTGAAACATTATAAATAGTTGCTATACCCTCCAAGGATGTTGAAGGATATTCAATTGAAATTGGTGAATATCGAATTTCACTAATATGTAATTTTTTTGTAAAGTAATTATAAGAAATCTCTGAAATTTCATTAAGATCATCATCTTGATCGATCTATATAATAACAACATATAAGTTGTATGTATAATTAAATAAAGAATAATAAATATTTATTACTAAATATATATACTAACAATTTCGATTTCTGGAATCTCACTATCTGAAAGATTTTCATTTGTAATAATCGATGAGCTTGTAGTATTAGTTGAAATTGCTAAATCTGTAATTTCTGAGGAGGTAATTGTTGAATTTGCACTTTCAATTAAATCAGTTGTTAAATCGATAAAATTATTATAGAGGGACATAGAAAGGTTGGATGATTCAGATCTTAAGATATTATTATATGAAGTACTTTGAGATTCATTTGTTATAAAGCTTGAATCGCTTAAAAATGAA